GTTTAGTCAATCAAAACAATAAAGCCGAACACATTTCCTCACATAATGGAAATGATTGCGCGGTCACATTTAACCGCTGATGTAAACTCTAACCAGATGGGTTCGTCTCTGTGCACCGTGACTCTAAATGGGACGACCTAAGAACGAGGGAACATTTACACCAGTGAGCTGAGTGGATCCCTCAGCACTCAGCTGCTGAAACAGATGACTGAGTGCACTCAGCTGTGTGCGGCTGTGTTTGAGTCCCACACACTGTGGCGTTCCACTTTTCCACTCGGTCTGCTTCATTTGCCCGATAAAATGAGACGGGGTTAACCTCATCCTCTCACACGGCCTCTCATGTCCGTCTCTGAGGCACAGAATCCTCCTGTCGTTTTAAAAGGCGCCACTGGTGGTTTTGCATGTTTTGTCCCCTTCATTAAAACTGTGTATACCTCACAACACTGTCGACCGAACACTGAAGCTTTTAGACTGATTTCCTGCCTTCCAGTAATCTGCTGTTTTCCATTATTTCTTTATGATATGATTATTATTCTGAAGGTCTGGGGGAATTTGGCTCTTTTGGGTAAAGGTCCTCATTTGTATTGCTCTTTTCTTGTCTTAACCACTCAATGCACTGATGTTTATTTTTTTTACCTTGATGGGAGTTACCTCCACCAAGGAGTTAATTTTTTCACTCGTCTTTTTGTTTGTTATTAAGCAAGATTACCCAAAAAACTACTGGATGGATTAACACAAAACCTGGTGGAAGGATGTGGTATAGGTCAGCATAGAAGCTATTCAATTTTGGTGCGGATCGCTGTCAGAAGATGGTTTCAGGACTAGTTTTTAAGTTTCCCAGGGAATAGTTTATGGATCTTGATGGGTAAAAAATCTGGCATGTTTAGAGGACTGCTATCTATGAGTGTGTGAAATCTGTTGCTTTAGGCAACTGTTGGACTCTAGTTTATAATTTAGTCATTTAGATTTAAAGTCCACTAAGCAGCCTTTCAAAATACAGTATTACAATGTAAAAAAGGTACAAAACAATCTAACCACAGAGTCTATTTAGTAACTGTTCTGCCGCTTAAGTTTTCCAGTTGTCATGGTTACCCCAACGATTTTTTTGTCCATAAAGCCTTTGAGGTTGAGGTTGAAGAACTGAGGGTAAAATGGAAAATAACATCTACAATTCTATGAAAACTGCAGCACAATCCATCGCTGAGGAATATTGTGTGATGCTCTGAAAAGGTCCGATTGTTTTGTCTCCAAGGCCGAGAATGAATCCATCCTTACCTTCCCTTCAGACAAAACCCAATGAATCTCATCATGATAAGCAGGTGAAAGATTTAGGGGATGCACAACTCACAGGCTCGGATCTGAAGCAGCAGAGCTCTTAGGAGAAATGAACATGAAGGAGGAAATATGTCACCTCCTCAGACTGACTTATGGAGAGCACAAGCTGATAATGTCTGGAAGTTACAGAGCGGTTCTCTGCTGCCAACAGGAGAGCTGCGTCAGTAACAGCAGACGGACGTAAACCTGTGTGTAGTTGAAATGTAAAATAGGATGAAGATTAGATTTGTTTATCAGATAATAGAAAATATCTTAAAATAGATGTCACGCTTATTTTCCACCTCTGCAAAAAAACAATTCTAACAATTGGCCATGCTCTGCCCAGACCTTACTGCCTGTCCACTGATTCATAACGTGACAGAACTGGCGAGAGAACAAAAGCACAGAAAATATTGGTGCTCCTCTGTTTTGCATCATTATGTTTTTATGTCCTGCAGGTGATTACTGTAAATGATCATGCAGCCGTCTGTGTCATAGTTTAAAGCTCATACGTCTCTGTTTAGATTTGGCAGCACTTTTAATATGTAGCACGTTGAGGTGGGGAGACAGATTTCCCAGGAGTTTTGCTGGAACTCTCTAAAACTTCAGGTTCACAGCGATAACAGATGTGAAGCAGCCTACACAATAACAAATATGTTGGTGTCAAAGATATTAGCATATTCAGTAGCTGCTTCGCTGAATTAGGATAAAACAGATTTTTCTTGTAAACACAATTATACAATAAACACAATAACGCAGGCTGCTCACACCCCCGGTACCTCATATGGAGTTGATGGTATGAATCAACCTCGTGCCTCTGGATGCATAAATGTGTATGAATAAGCTAAAACATTAAAGAAATAAAAGTTATTACTATTCTTGATGACAAACTGTTACTTTATCATGGAGATCACTACATATGTTGTTGTTTTAGGTCATGATGTTGGGGCATGACTACTTTCGACATGCATTTTTATTTTGTAATCATTTCATATACTGTAGACTAAACTCATCTGTACAGCCACTAAATGGCAGAATAGGCTGTAGAGTTTGTTATCACCATTACTCTTGACCAATTTAAATTCAGGAAGGTTAGGGACATGATTTAACTTGAGTATAAATTGACTAATGGTTTGTTAGTTTCACTGCAATAACACTTCAACACATAGAGGTGATGACCTGTCCTCATGTCTGTCTCCAGGAGCTGGATATGGCTTATTATGATTCCAAGGCTGAGCTGGATTATGTGAGTGACAAATAACCAGACACGTCTGCTTTTCATTTTCTTACTGAAGTTACTGAACGCAGGAAATATTTTTTTTATATATAATAGATTAAAAAAATGACAACTTACACGTGAAATGTATTTTCTTGTTGTCATAGTATTCGATGGATGGAGAAGGAGAGGTGGAAAATCCCTCCCACATCAAGCTGGAGTTTGTCTATGATCCCAACTTCAAAAACAATGTCAACTATTCCTACACGGCTGTTCAGATTCCAACGGATATTTATAAAGGAGGCAAGTTGATCAATTATGTGTTTTTCTTTTCCACTGCAGCTACTAATAATATCAGACTCTTGTCTGGTTTGATTTATTTATATCGTCTCACTCTTTTCCCATCAGCCCCAGTCATTCTGAACGAGTTGAACTGGACGCAGGCGCTGGAGAAAGTCTTCATGGAGAACAGTCGGGAGGATCCGTCATTGCTGTGGCAGGCGTTTGGGAGTGCGACGGGAGTCACCCGCTACTATCCAGGTATGTGTGGAATATGATGGGATACTTTTAAACTGATTGAGCAATATAATATATAAACAAACCTTTTCCCTTTTACAGCAACGCCTTGGAAGGCCCCTGATAAGATCGACCTGTATGATGTCAGGAGGAGGCCCTGGTACAGTCGGCTGTTTTTTAATTGGGCTTTTACGTGTGGATTCGATTTTAAAGCTTGACATTTTGTAAAATCTCTTCATTACAGGTACATCCAGGGAGCCTCATCCCCAAAAGATATGGTCATTCTTGTTGATGTGTAAGTAATTAAAAATGTTTCAGAAAGTTAAGTTGTGTATTCACTTGGATTTAGTAAAGAGCTCATGTTTGAGTATATCATTGATATACTGTCTAAAGTAGAGTATATGGCTGAAGTTTTTATTGCTGTTTAAGCCTTTATGAACCAAAATCATGCAAAACTTTCTCTTTGTTTGCAGTTTTAAGTAATTAACTGCTGTTGAATCTATTGTCGTGGGAAAACACTGCACTTGACACTGACTATGCATCAAAATGAGCTGACAACAGCTCATACTGCTAATAATGTGCAAACATCAAGTTTAAAGTTTGAAGAGTGTAAGATTTAGGTGTTAGGGAACTATTTGCAGAAATATAAAATAATCCTAGTGATGTTTTCACTAGCGTGTAATCGATATATTTAAATGTTTTCTTTACCTGAGAATGGGATCTTTCTATTTTAATACTTTATATTTACATCGGGAGCGGGTCCTCTTTACGGAGGCCGCCATTTTTTTTTTTACAGTATTCCGAAGTTGTATGTGACCAATGTATGAATATGTGAAATCATCACCATAGTATGATGGATGATACTTGTGTGTTTTCTCAGGAGCGGCAGTGTCAGTGGACTCACCCTGAAACTGATCAAAGCATCAGTGATGGAAATGCTGGACACTTTGTCTGATGATGACTATGTCAACGTGGCCCGGGTTTGTATCTGCTATACCCCATCTATGTCCTTTTACATCTCCATCTCTAAATCTGAATTTATTACATTTATTTTTCAGTCTTTCTACATTTGAAACTTGTCTGTGTCTTCTGCTGTCTGTGTCTCAGTTCAACGAGAAGGCCGAGGCTGTTGTTCCTTGTTTCAAACATCTTGTCCAGGCTAACGTGCGCAACAAAAAGATCTTCAAGGACGCGGTGCAGCAGATGCAGGCGAAAGGCACCACCGACTACAAGTCTGGATTTCATTTTGCCTTCAACCAACTGTTAAATGTAAGAGACGTATTGATTTAGATTATGTTAAAACCAACTTCTGCACCAACTGCTTTACTGTTTTCTACTCACTTCTTATTTTACAGAAGACAAATGTCCCCAGGGCTAACTGCAATAAAATAATCATGCTGTTTACTGATGGAGGAGAAGACAGAGCTCAGGACGTCTTCATGCAATACAACTGGCCCAATAAAACAGTTGGTTTTCCTCTGATTACTCCATCGTTCACTGACAGACAGAATATAAACAGGAATCATTGTTTTGTCTTAATCTTAATGTTTCTTCATTTGTTGTCCCTCAGGTTCGAGTATTCACCTTTTCTGTGGGTCAACACAACTATGATGTCACACCCTTGCAATGGATTGCATGTACCAATAAAGGTGAGGTACTTTTTACTCTCTATGTTGACTTCTCTCCTCGTTTACCATCCAGTTGTTATGCACTCAGGTTGATGTGTATCTCACTGGTTGTGTATTTGGTAAAGATCAATTAAAATGTATTTTCTTCATTATAATGTGAATAGCTTATTTATTATTTAATTCAAATTACACATACTTAAATTGAGTAGCACTGTCGTCTCACAGTAATAATTCAGCCGGGGTCTCTCTGTGTGGAGTTTGCATGATCTGTCCGTGGCTGCGTGTGTTTTCTCCAACTGCCCCCCTACAGTCCAGTGACATGCAGATTGGAGTTCAGTTAACTTGAGACTCTAAGTTGACTTTAGGTGTGAGGGTGAATGGTTTGTTGTGTCTGTATGTCGGCCCTGCGACAGGCTGGCGCCCTGTGCAGGGTGAACCCCGCCTCTCGTCCATTGTCAGTGTGGATAAGCGGTATAGATAAAAGATGGATGGATAATTAGTTGAGCCCTCCACATCTCTCCTGGTGACTACAGAAGCTGCAGTTTCACTGGTGTAGATCAGATTTGCTTTCAACCAAGAACCTGGGAACATGTGATCTTACTTGTAAGAAAAAGAGCAAAGTGATTCAGAAACAATTCTCGTAGACATTGTTTCTGTGAAGCAGACCCTGATTGGTGATCAGCTGATCCCTCAGTCTTTACTGAACTGTATGCATGGACCTCAGTTTTAAAGCTCAGTGGTTTTCCTCTTTCTGCTTCCCATCTGTAGGATTTAAGAGGCTGAGTCACCAGTTTTGTAACATCTAGTAAAATCTGGAATATTTATGAACACCACTTCTGTGTTTTTTTCCAATAGCATCACTCACTTAGCCCCCCCCTCCCTCTCTCTCTCTCTCTCTCTCTCTGTGTTTTTTCTCCACTGTTTGCCAGGTTACTATTTTGAGATCCGTTCCATCTGTGCTATAAGGATTAACACCCAGGTGGGTTTGTCTAGTGCCTCTGACACAGCTGATGCCCATTCATTGGTTATTGTGGCTCTCACTCACTTTGCAGAAACATCTACTTCCATTTATTTGCACATCCGTTCTCCCCAGTGTTCTGATGTTGTTGGTTGTTTGGAAGCTGAAGCAGCTCATTTTTTTGACAGGAGTACCTGGACGTGCTGGGACGTCCCATGGTTCTGGCAGGCAGCGATGCCAAACAGGTCCAGTGGACCAATGTGTATCAGGATGCATTGGTGAGAGCTTATCACACCATTACTTGGATTCCATCGAATTTAGTAAATCATTAAAAATACTCTATAGACACTCACAGCATATGATTTTTATGATCTGGGTTTTGTCTTTGAAATCCGTAGGGTCTTGGAATGGTAGTGACCGGGACTTTGCCTGTATTTAATCTCACTGTGGATGGAAACTCACAGGTAACAAAACTGGTCAAATGTTTTTATATTAATAGATTACAGTCACTGTTGAATTATGTCCCAGAATATGACAACTATTAATGGAATATTTCAATATTTGTGTATGTAAAAATTAATCATATTTCTACAGAAAATATCAAGAACAGCCATTTATTTTTATTTAGCATAAACACTGGGTCCAAACGTAATAAAATCCAAATACCTGCTCCTCTAAAACTCAGTTTATAATTTATATCTTAAAAATTAAATTCATAAATAGAGTTTGAACATCATGGGATTATTTGCTGGACTGTTATCAAAGCAAAGATAAACTCAAAGGCGCAGTTTGTGTTTGTTAAGTGGACTCGCTGAATCCCCTACTGGCCATAGCCAAAAATATACATGGGAATATTATTTATATAATTTTACCAGTGTTTCTCAGTAATAATCTAATTACTCATTGTAGAACTGTGTGCAGCACTGTCTGCCTCGCTCTGCTGCTCTCTCTTCCCTATCTCCGTCTCATGCTCTCATGCGTGCTCTGTTGGGGTTGCTGGCATTTTTGCAGTTTGTGCAAGTTCGGTTTCTCGATTAATTCTCTTATTATATACATAATGTTATGTGTTATATATAGCGAAGATAATCAATCTATATGTAGAGATATATCAGTCGTATCTGTATTTATCCTAAATGTTGAACTATTCCTTTAAGTTTTTAAATGTATTTCTTCTGTTGTCTCAACAGAATCAGCTGATATTGGGCGTCATGGGAGTTGACGTGCATCTCGATGAGATAAAGCGTCTGACACCACGGTACAATGTATGTACATCACATCAGCACCACTACTAATCACAATAGTTTCACTGGCACTTGCATTAGATAATACAGACAGACCCACTCTGTCACTTTTTGTGTCCTGAACAGCTCGGAGCCAATGGATACATATTTGCCATTGATCCAAACGGATATCTTCTCCTACATCCTAATCTCCAGCCAAAGGTGGTCCATAGTTATTCAAGCTTAACGCATTAACACTGTGGGTATTTGTTTTAAGAAGCATGGGGGTGTATTCATTACAGGTCAATGAGCACAGACATTGATGATCCACATGCTGTTATGCCTGTTTTAACATTTGATGATGCTGTCATTTAAATATCTTTTTCTCTCTCTTCTTGTCTCAGCTCGTGAACCTCCCTGAACCTGTGACGCTGGACTTCCTGGATGCAGAGGTGGAGGACAGCAATAAAGAGGAGGTGAGCACGTTCCTGGTTTTAGGCGTTTTCTGTTCCTTGCTTGTTGTTCAGCTCACGTTCAAAGTTATTGTCAGAGAACAACGTTGTCCGCCTCAGGATAATCTGCCCACGCAGCATGGTTTTTTACAACCTGTTGACTGATAACGCTGTGTTTCATGCTCTAGATCCGCAGACAAATGATTGATGGAAGACCAGGTGAAATGCAGGTCAAAACACTCATCAAGTCCATTGACGAGGCAAGTAAATGAACACATTTAATCTGAAAGGAGCCATTTTGTAGAGATCTTTAACAGATAACAGTTTATGTTCCATCCTCTTAATTGTATAAATTGTAGACTTGCTAACACCTCGTACTCAACATTGACTTACATTGGTGTTTAAAGGGTCGATGAAACAAGCTTCTCCGTCACTTAAAACAAGTCCTCAATAACTTTATTATTCAAACAACCTATCGAGAAATGAGTGTGAAATTCAGAATGTTTAAATGTAAAATATAAATCACCTATAACTTAACCTTATCCCATCCACTCACCATTTTTGGTGTAAACATTTTGATCACATAGATGTTATAATTGTTGGTATTAAAGGTGGAAAAACTGCAATATGGAAAACCTCCTTAAAACAACTGGGGGAACTGTAGTCTACTTTTGTGCGATACTTGTTTGACTGAATCGTCTTGTCTCCTTTTTTTGTAGCAATACATTGATGAGGTGTTCAGGGGTTACACCTGGACTCCGATCAACGGCACAGACTACAGGTGAGCAGCCTCGATGTTATGTATTATAATGTGTTGTTACTCACAGGGATGAGTTCACTCATCAGACCCTTCCTCTTTCTGTCTCCTCATTCTGTTGGGATGCTGCCACCTGCAGTCTGGGTTTGGTACTACCCCCGTACAACGAATACTACATCCAGGCAGACCTGAGTGATGTGATGCTGCAGCTCCAGTGTGAGTACCAGGGAGACGGAGCTTTTGATCTTCAGGTTGCCTGACATCTCGAGAACTTAATTTCAACTTTGGCGTAATTATTCACTTGGACTCAAGGATGACTTGATTAGAATTTGTTGGTCAGGGGTCAAAGGTCAAGGTCAATATGACCTAACAACACGAAGCTCATAGCTTAAAAACATTTGTACGAGTATAGTTTGTCAAATATATTTCAGATTTGGACAGATACAGAATTGGTGACTCTAATTTTCAGTGTTCCTATTGAAACTGTGGTGATTGTATAGATCTTCTGTGAAGCAGCATCCATATTTGAAGCAGCGGTCATGGCTTCAACTTTGTGTTTTATTATTCAGCTTTTTCTCATTGTAATTTCACAAAACCAAAATGAAGTCAAATCATGTTTATTGATATATGTTTATATCACAAATAAAAAGGCTGCAGTGAAATTATTCACTAGAGACAAATTAATAACGTAATAATATCTAGGTACATTTTTTTATTACATTTTCTTTAAGAGTTTTGAGTTTACTTGATTTATAGTTTAATATTGTGTTTTATCCTCTTGTGTAACTTTGCTAGTAGAAGTACTTTACAAATGAAGTCTGTGATACAGGTCTTGAAAAATGCAAACTGCAACTTGACTGGTTGTAATTCTACTATAAAGAAGTAACACATACATTGGATGAGATTATAACAATATCCCCTCTTGTCTTTGTGTTACAGACATGCAGTCTCTGCTGCCCAGCTCCTTTGAATTATCAGGTCATGTGTTTCTGGCTCCAAGGTGACTCAAACGTCTGTCTCTCTATTTCTCTCTTCCTCTGTCTACCTATAAAGGGAACGTTATTATTTATCTGTGTTCTCTCTTTGCAGGGAATACTGCAAGCGTCTGCACATCTCTGACAACAACACCCAGTTTTTGCAGAACTTCCTTTCACTCATGTTGGACATGTCTCCAGAATCTGATGAGTGTCAGTCACATTTGTTTCGACAGTTTGTGGTAGAAGTTAAACTGCAACACTCTGGAAACACTCGTGAGATGATCTTTTTGTCTTTTCATCTCAGGTGACCAAGGCCTCATTCACAACCTGATTCTGGATTCTAGGATTATCGGGCAGCTGGCTTCTCGTGTGTGGAAGAACAAGGACCTGAATTCGTGAGTCAGCCTCTACTATAGATAAAATATATATTTTTTAGAAAGAGACAATTAATGCAAAACAGAATTCTTTAAGAAAAATCTAATCCTTACAGGTACGGCTTCCTGGCGGTGTTTGCGTCTACAGATGGAGGAATAACACGGGTTTTCCCCAACATGTGAGTAATATTGATGTATGCACAGATATTCTTAGTTTTTCTTCATGAAACATTCAATGATTTTTTTTTGTTCGTGTAGAGCTGCTGAACTGTGGGAGGAAGATCCTGAACCCTTTAATTCAAATTACTACAGACGAAGCCTGGACAACAGAGGATACATGTTCCGAGCTCCACTCAGATCCTGTGAGTAACTGAGCAAATGTACTTCGTGGTGCCTGCAGTTTATCATTTGAGATGCTGCGTAAAAGTATTATACTGCTGCCTTGGAAAATACTTTGACTTCCTTTCCAGCTGAGACACAGATGAGATGATCAATACAACTCTCATTACTGTTATATGAATATGAAGTTACAGCGAGCAGAGCTAGCAGCCAGTTAGATTGTGAGGTTACCAGGTGGCCCCCGCCTGGGTGCAGGAAGTCACTGCACCCAGCTGAGAAATAGTTAAGGTCTATGAACAATGGTAATTTTTATTCTTAAATATTATGTGCTAGTTGGTGAACTTTAAAGGTGATAGAAGTTGGCTCATTTAAATTTTAGAAAGAAAGTAAAAATGCCAAAGGATTAAAAAACGTGTCTTTAAATGCTACGTCAACGATATATTTTTAAACAATTGCATAAAATTTAGCAATAAAGTGTATTCTTGACCTTGAGATGCGTATATGTTTGTATTTTGTAGTTTTTACTCAAGGTCCACTTATTATGTTTCACAGCTTTCAACCGCATCTCGCACTCTTCATTAGCAAACAGAACCACACACAGTAACTGACCTCGGTGTGGAAAGTCATTCTTTATCTTTGAACTGAGGTCGGTCAATCCAATCTGCCCACACATGATACATTTGGTCATGTGGGCCAGTTCCATTTACTGATGAAGACAATGAGATGTGGTTGAAAGCTCTGATTAGAGTAGTGGACGCTGAATTACTCATCTTAAGGTAACTAATTATCATCCATGTTAAAGAATACTGCAAAATGATGTTTAGTTTAAATTAAACATAAACTTCAAATGATGAATGCAGCACTTAAACACATGTGACGTCAGGCTGTATGTTAACATCATGTTATGTGTGTGAACAGCCATGGACGACCCTGTAGGTGCAGAAAATGGTACGGTTGGAATCCTAGTGAGTTCAGCAGTAGAGGTGAATCTAGGAGGCAAACTTCTCAAACCTGCAGGTAAGAAAAATACAACCTGCATTATCAGAAATAGATTTCAGCGTCCCCTGCTCTTGCTTCTTCTATGAAAACACTGCTTCTTTTTCACTCTCTATGTTCTGCTTCTGCGCATCGCATCACTCAGTGGTTGGAGTGAAGCTGGACTTGGAAGCGTGGGTCGACAAGTTTAAGATCCTTGCCAGCAACGTGTCGGACAGTCGACAGGGCTCACACAAGGTCCAGCACAATGTCCCTGTTCACTAATAATCACCTCAATTAAACAGAATTTACAGAAGCAAAGTGACGCTAATGTCTCACTCTAACTCTAATAACAGTGTGGACCATCCAGAAGTTGTGAGATGGACTGTGAAGTCAACACTGATGTAAGAGCCTTTCTCTTTTTTGTAATTTTACTCTCATATTAACAAAAAATATACTTTACTATTTCAAAATATTTTTCTTTTGATATAGAGTTTTCAGTTTTTCTACACTTGGCTGCTGTTTTTTAAATCAGCTGTTTTCGCTCCATCAACCTTTAGTCTGTGACGTTCTGCTGCTGCTCAATGATACGACAGTAAAACTGTTCTGTTGTCTGTAGGACCTCCTCTGTTATCTCATTGATGATGGAGGCTTCCTGGTTATGTCCAACCAGAGAGATCACTGGAAAAAGGTACGAGTGTGAGCAGCAACGTGTTTACTCTGATATAAAGTACGATTTCTAACTTATTTATGTGTTAATGCTAAAAAAAGGTATTAGTGTTCCAAATCATGTTTTCACTGTGTCCAGCAACAGAGCATCATCCTCTGTCATTGAATTCTCATTGTCCAATCAGATCCAGTTGGAGAACAGAGTTAACATTTCTTTTTTTAACTTGAATGTAACTTCAACCTCCAAATCTTATTTATAACCAATATAATTTGAGCCCTTAAGTCATCATGTGAGACAGTTCCCCAGATCTTTCTGAGATCTTTCTTTCCATCACAGATTGGACTTTTCTTCGGCGACGTGGACCCTTATCTGATGCATGCGCTCTACAACAACTCAATTTTCAGCCGTCGTCAGTCTTTTCACTACCAGTCTGCGTGTGAACCTGTCAGCAGCAGCCACACTGGTGCAGCACCCAGAGGCATCTTTGTGGTAAGAGACGAGCTGCAGGTTTTAGATTATGTGACAGTTAACGCTTGCTTTAATCTCTCAATACACTCTGTTTCTGCAGCCGTCCGTTGCTGACATGCTCAGCCTGGCCTGGTGGACGTCTACTGTGGCATGGTGAGACTTTGTTCGCTGCAGATCAAATGACACCAGAAGCATGCGAGGTGCCCTTTAAAACAATCTTAACCGTGTCCAGACTTCTGCACATGAAACAACGGAGGCCATATTTTCTTCTCATGCTTGACAGCCGCCCCCCCGATGCTCGACTATTTTCAGCACAGTGTTACTGTAGCTGTGACATTTGTGGATTGCTATTTATGTACTTCCTTCCTTAACAAGATGAAATATCAGTACTTCTTTTCAGGTCTGTGCTCCAGCAACTACTGTATGGACTGGCCTATAACAGCTGGCTCTATCAAGGTCAGGCATAATCTGTGTGTGTGTGTGTGTGTGTGT